ATGGCGATCACCACCAACAGCTCGACAAGCGTGAACGCACGCTCGCGACGCGACGCCAATCGTTGGCACAGAAGGGTAGGCACGCTTACGGTCTCCGACACAAGGGCCGATATCACAACGACTTAGTAGCTCCGCAAACTCACGCAACGCCGCTCACCGCCGCCGCCAGCCCATCGACGCCAACAGGCACGACGCCAGTGCCAAGCACGTCGATGGCTCGGGGACCGCGACGCCCTCGGCGTCAGCCGGGCCGCCGTAGCCTCCCGCCCAAATCGCGTAGTCTTCCGGCCCCACCTGACCGCTCTCGTCGCCGTCGGCGCGAAGGTCGGTGGTCGAGTTCAAGNNCACACCGTGTAGTCGGCCGCATTGACCAGGCCGTCCGAGTTGTAGTCTCCCGGGACCGCCTCGAACAATGGGTTTTCAACCACGTAGGGCTCGAACACCCCATCCACCTCCCCATCCGCCAAGTAAACGATCTTTCGGCTATCCGCCGACCAAACGATGCCGAGCCCCAGCGGCTCGCGGAGCACGTCGCTATCAATGTCGCCGTCGGAGATATCCGGCACGCCGTCGCCGGTGATGTCGAGGTCGATCGCTTCGGCCGAGAACGGATCGTTCACCTTAATGGCTTCACCCCCTTCGATCGGCACGACGAACAACTCAAAGACGCCGATCGTTTGGAGGTCGGCGCTGAACGCGATGGTCTTGCCGTCGGGAGAGATCGCAAAGTTGTCCACGTCGGACGACGACGACAGGTTACTAATCGGGAGCACCTGTGGCACACCTCCCGTGACGGGGAGGGTGTTGATCTGGTTCTCGCCATTCACGGCGTAGTCGCCCTTGAAGTAGACCGTATCGTCAACAAAGAAGACGTGGTCGATGTCGAAGCTCGTAGGGATGGTCCCGGCGATCGGGATCTCGACCGCCGGCCCGCCGGTGATCGGCACACGGTAGAGCGACGACTCATTGGCGCCACGGAAACGGCTGTCGGTGGCGAAGTAGACCTCCGTCCCGTCGGCGCTGAAGTTGAATGTCTCGGTATCGACGTCCCCTTCGACCGCGGAGGACGAGAGATTCACCACCGGGCCGTTGCCGAAGGTCGGGAACGCCCGCAGCACGTCGTCCGAGCCATCCCTCGTGGCGACGACGACCGTTTGCCCGTCGGGGCTGAGCCGGAAGCCGAAGCTCACGTCCACATCGTTGATGACCATGCCAGCGCCGCCCGCGGTCGAGACGCGGTGCACCTTGTCGACGCCGCTATCCGAATCGACGTAGACCAGTGTCTGCCCGTCGGGCGTGTAGAACGGGATGTCATCGACCTCGGAACTGCTGACCGCTTGCGTCGGCGTCCCGCCCGTGATCGGAATCGTATAGAGCCGGTCCGCTGTTGTGCCGCTGAGGTTGGCGACGAAGGCGAGCGTTGTCCCGTCCGGGCTGATGCCGATCGTATCGACACTCCGCAACGGGTTGTCGGTCGCCGACGTGCTGATGCCGGGAATCACGATCTTCACCGCGTCGGCCGAGACGCCCACCGAGGCGAGCGTCACAACGAGCGCTGCCCGAACGGCGACTCCTCGCCACATCCATACACGAGAGTTCAAGGCGGGTCATCCTAGGAGGGGTCGAAACAGGGAAGGGCGTGCGGGGCTCGGCCCCGCACGCCCACCATTGCTAAACGAATGAAGCCGTCATCAAGCGAGACGACGCCCGCCCACCAGCAACCCGCAGCCAAGCGCCACGAGCGCGAGCGTCGTCGGCTCGGGGACCAGCCGGATCGTGGCGGCCGACATCCCGTCCCAGTCACTCGGCGAGAAGTTGCCGGGCGAGAGGGCGTAGGTCGTTAGGTTGACGCCGTCAAAAACGCGCGAGCGGGCGTCGTTCGGCTGGCTTTGCTCGAACGTCACCGACGCGTCTACCGAGTCGAGTCGAACCAACGCGTTGTCGGCGAGCCAGGTGCCGCCGTCGTCGTCGGCGTCATCCGTAAACGTCGCGCTAGACGAGTCATCCAGGAACATCGCGACGATCTGCAGCTGGTCCGCGATGACTTCCGTATCGCCGGCAAGCGTCAGCCGGTGAACGCCGCCGTTAGACGAGGCAAAGACATTGTCGATGTCGCCGTCCACGTGGATGAACGAGTCGGTCATCTTCACGTCGGTCGTCGTCCCCATGCCATCGGTCACCACACCGAAACGCCCGGCGCGGAACGTCGAGTCAAAGATCTGATCGGTCGAAGTCCGCACGTAGATCACCTGGTTCAACCCGCCGCCGGAGCCCGTCCCCGACGCAAGGAAGTCGGACCCCGAGATCGAAACGATTGAAGCGCTCGACTGGAACTCGATGTCATCTCCCAGGCTCTCGAGCATCGAATCCGTGATGGAGATCGAACCGCGAAAGAAGATGTCGTCGGACGCCGTGAGAGTTGTGTCGGTGAGCGAGACGGTGGAGCCCGAGTTGAACTGGACCTGACCGGCGTCGCCCGCGCCATCGACGATCAGCGACGCTCCGCTCGAGGTGAGCGAGCTGCCCGAACCAAAGACCAAGTCGTCGCCGCTCACGGTGAGGGCAGAGCCCGTACCGAGCGACAGCGAGCCCATGCCGAACGACAGGCCCGTTCCAGCGAGAACCGAGTCGCCATCAATCACCAGCGAATGCTCAACCAGATTCGTCCCGCCATCGATCACCGGCGTGGCGAGGAACGAACCAGAGCCGTCCGGGGCGTCGTTCCAGTTCATCGTGTCGAAGAAGCTGCCCCCAGCGGGGCCGACATAGAAGAAGTCCATCGCCGTCGCGCTAGACGCGCCGACAGCGCAGAGGG